CTATCAATGTCTGCAAAGGTAGTAGTACAAGACACACCTGGTCTACAGGGAGCAAAAACTGAACTTCTACAAGGGGTCAAAACTCGTGTAATACCCATGTGAGAAGACCATGGCAAAACATCTACAAATTTTGGAGGAAAAGGTATACTTGATCAAGTTGTACTTCGAAAGTAATCACAAGTGCTCTCAAGCCTACAGGAATTCCATTTGTGGCACCAGTTAGCGCCGGCACAACTAGTTACTGTGTTCCAGTTGGTAAGATGTAACGGAAACAAAGATAGCTCTGATGAAATAACTGTTGATGAACTTTGAGTCTGACTTCATATAGATCCAGGATGGAGCTATGAAACAATTAGAGTGCAAAACAAACATTTACCAAATAAAATTAATAAAGTTGAGTGTGAGCATATGTGTACCTATGGATTTCCACATTTCTCACAGCAAAAAAAAATATATTTTTTTTTCATAATTTTCTATATCTTTAAAAAGGATCATTTAAGAAAGATTCTAAATGCTTAACTTTTTCAGATTAATTTCACTTCCTTTTTTCTTATAAGTTCAAAAAATAGAATTTACAGTTAAATTTTTGAAATTGCATGACCAGTGTAATCTCAGTTCTTTAAAACTATAAAAAGTGGTTAAGAGTCCAAATTTTTTTTATGATTTCCTTGTTTTTTACAATTTTTTATTAATTACACTTTATTCACTTTGTATCCCCCCTGTAGCTCTCTCCACCCTCCCCTCCCAACCCCTCCCTTCCTCCCCCTTCTTCACATATGCCCCTCCCCAAGTCCACTGGTAGGGGAGGTCTTCTTTTCCTGCCTTTTGATCCTAGTCTATTAGGTCTCATCAGGAGTGGCTGCATTGTCTTCCTCTGTGGCCTGGTTAAGGCTGCTCCCCCCTCAGGGGGAGGTGATCAAAGAGCAGGCCAATCAGTTCATGTCAGAGGCAGTCGCTGTTCCCATTATTATGGAACCCACTTGGACACTAAACTGCCATGGGCTACAACTGTGCAGGGGTTCTAGGTTATCTCCATGCATGGTACTTGTTGGAGTATGAGTCTTAGGAAAGACCCCTCTGCTCAGATTTTTTGGTTCTGTTGCTCTCCTTGTGGAGTTCCTGTCCTCTCCAGATCTTACTGTTTCCCACTTCTTTCCTAAGATTCCCTGCACTCTGCCCAAAGGTTGGCCATAAGTCTCAGCACCTGCTTTGATAGTCTGCAGGATAGAGCCTTTCAGAGGCCCTCTGTGGCAAGCTCCTGACTTGTTCCCTATATTCTCCTTCTTCTGATGTCCATCCTCTTTGCCTTTCTGTATAGGGATTGAGCATTTTAGCCAGAGTCCTCCCTCTTGATTAGTTTCTTTAGGTGTACACATTTTAGTAGGTTTATCCTATATCATATGTCTATATGAGTGAGTGTATACCGTGTGTGTCTCTGCTTCTGGGATAGCTCACTCAGCATGATCTTTGCAGACAATGTACCTGATCTGCCTGCATTATCTGTAAAATGCAAAATAATAGCCCTCAGTTATCCATATAAAATTCTTACCATTTTGTTCTTATTTATGTGTGTGCATGCTCACACATACACATGTGTCATGACATATGTGGGGGTCAGAGGACAACTTGCCAGAGTCATCTCCTTCCGTCATGCAGGTCTCAGAAACTGAACACCATTTGCTAGGCCTGGCAGCGAGTACCTCTACTCACTGAACCATTTGACTTTCCTTCATATGAAGTTATTATTGTATAATGTTTCTGACATGTTAGCTATAGTTACCTCTTCTCTTCTCTCCTGCTATTCATAGCATAGATCTGTAAGCACTCTTACCAAATGCTAATGGTGTTTTTTTCTGAGTACGGAACTTTGGATTGTTTTTTTTTTTTTTCTTCACAACAAATAATAAAAGACTCTCTTTACAATAAAGACAAATTTTAATTTTCTCAGTTCTTTTTGCATCTGAGGTCCAAATTAAGAAGCCTAGAGATCTGTATTTTTAAAGTGTTGCCCATATAAATCTTATGATGGGTGGGGCTTACTAAGCACTTGGAATAGACAACTTCCTCCCTCCTGAGCAAGCTTCCATAATGGAACAGATGGTTGAGTGGTTAGTCTGCTGCAGTGTGCCTGAAGAATCTGAGAAGCTGGACGTGCTTTCATCAGAAATCGACTGGGTTCTGGGGATGCAGTCCACCTTCAGAGATGATTGCTTTATGTCAGGGATGTGAAAGGAAATAGGAGTTCACAAATAGTCATAAAGGGAAGAGTCCTTGAAATTGGAAGGGGAACAACAGGGAGGGGCCTTCAAAGGTAACTACTTATGATCTGAGAAGGGTAAGTGTGGATGGCAGGCATCAGACAGAGTCCCAAAATATTTTTAAAATGGAAACAAATAATAAAACACCAAGTATTTCTTCACACCTCTCCTAGAAAGATGTTAACTTTGAGTTTTGCTTAACTTTATTGCTGCCTCAACTGTTTACTTTCTAAATCAGTATAGTCAGCCTTCTGTATCCATGCATTCCACATGTATAATCATAAAGCCAATCATAGATTAAAACTATTGGAGAAGTGCATATGTAATAAGCATATAAAGACCTTTTTCTTGTCTTTATTAAAACATATCATTTATGTTATATTCAATATAATGGATCCTTTAAATATACTGAAAGTTATTTACAAGTACCTTTGCATTTTCCATAAAGGATTTAATCATCTGTGGATTCCTGGAACCAGTTCCCCTGCTGAGAGCAAAGAACAACTTTAACTGTCCAGAGTAGAGCTGTGCCAAATATCTGACTCACCTCTCCTGACTTCTTCTTTCTTCTCTAGTTATCATGCTTTCACTATTTTACTAGTATCTTCAGACAAGTGTGTTACACTTTGTTCAGTTTTTCTCATATGCATTGATGACTGATAGAGGTGAGCCTAGTGAGGCATTCTATAAATAAGTGGTGAAACTTTCAGTTCCGTGGTTCTGATAGTGGTTCTTTGGTTTAAAAGAACGCTGACTTTTAATTTCATACTCCTGACTCTTTGTATACATGTTGTCCTTTCTGTTAATGGTGATTGTTTGAAAAATGAGGAATGTAATTTAGAAAACATTGGCTCTTCTTAAGCAGGTAGATCTGGGTGCAAATCTCTGCTTTGTAATTGCCCTAACCATTCACATATGGGAAGGTGTTAGAGGCTATATGCAAATATCTTTCCATTTTATCATTGACTTATACTGCCTAATATAGTTATACTGTATTGTGTTTTAAAAGTGTCCAGAAAAAAGTCTGTATTACCTGTTGACTTTTAAAGATTTATTTTGTGTGGGTGTGTGCATGTGTGTCTGCACAAAGGCCAGGAAAGGGCATCAGATCCCTCAGGGTCAAAATTACAGGTGTTGACAGAATTTCTCTGATCTTCATGATTATCCAGCAAGCTCTCCTATTTAAATGTTGAACTATTTCCCTAGCTTGACTTTTTTAAATTTTCTGTTTTCTTGTCAGTAAAATGGACATTGTGAGAGCAGAAACTGAAATTATATGTGGAAAGAACCTAGCATATGACAGATGCTTAGCATTAAAACTTTTCTTAGCTAATGAGAGATTACATACTTAAGGCTACCAGAATAAAGGATTTATAACTCCCATGTAGATGACTGTTAACACGCTGTTAAAAAGAGAATACCTTGTGAAGTAGTTGGGGAGTATTCTCTGAGCCCCCACTGTGTTCCTGGCTGTGTACTAAATTTGAAGATATACAGATGCACCCAGAACTTTGTGAGTCAATGTGTTAACAGGGAGAGACTTGAACATTCAGGGTTGACATCCAGCAGTGCTATGAAAACAGGTATTTGGAGTAGGAGTCAGCAAACTTCTAGAAAGCGCTAGGTAAAGCCTTGTTGGGCACGTTACTTCTGCTGCAGCTATTCAGCTCTGATTTGGAACCAGCCCCAGTCATCATACACAGGAATGGACTTGGATGTGTTTAGATAACACTACATTTTCAAAAACAAGACCTTGTGTCCCAAAACTTTGCTGACTGTAGCTCTCTATATTCCCTACCCACCACAGGCAGGATGGCTTTTGGTTTTATTTTATTTTGTTTTTTTAACTGCTCATAAGTTGTTATCTGTTAATAGCACACAGGCCAAGTATTAAATACTCAGAATTAGGTTTCTATTGAAGTGGGCAATGATACAGGCCATTCTGGGGGGGGGGGGGGGGGGGGGGGGGAGCTGTGTGCATTTAGTTATCCTGATGTTTTAGGATTTTCATCTTCTTATACTTCTCAGTTTGTTTCTGCAAATGTTCAGTCGATCTTTTTTTTTTTCATGGTGCTGATCTCATCTTCATGAGGTTTCTTCAAGACAGCCAGTTGTTCTCTAGTGTTCTCTTGGAAGTTCCAATCCTCACCAGCCTTCTCTTCCCAAGGGCCTGCCGGCTATTCAGATGGAGCTGGTGCCAGTGTCCAGGCTCTCCAACCCAAGAGAGATACAGCTTTTACATTTTTAAAGAAAAAGATGGAACAGGGACAGTATGTAGCTCACAAAGCCGGAAGCATTTTATTTCTAGTTCTTTACAAAGGTTGCTAACTCCGTATTGAAGAATAGACTAAGTGATGATTGCTACAAAAATGAAGGCTCTAGAGTTGACAGCCAAGAATGAAAATTATTCTGGCAAACAAGCTTGGTTCATGGAGGATCCTGGTGAGAGGAGGATCCAGGCTCTGTGCCAACAATAATGAGTCCACCTACTACTGCTTGTAATTGTCCACAAAGGGCTGTTAAAGCAACACATAAAGCGGGAGAGTCATAGGTGAGGAGAAGTTAAATATTATTAGAAACATTTTCTTTCAGAAGGGATCAACTTCCTATGAAAACTAAACCCCAGAATTTTTCTTCTTGATAATTTAGATCGCTATCTAATTTTATAACAGGAAGCCGCTTTTTAAGTTATTGGTTTATTATTATTATTTAATTATTATTATTATTATTATTTTTAAACAGAAATACACTCCCGGGAAATGGCCTCTAAATCTTGGCTGAATTTTTTAACCTTCCTCTGTGGATCAGCAATAGGATTTTTTTTGTGTTCTCAACTATTCGGTATTTTGTTGGGAGAAAGGGCTGACACGCAGCCTAATATGCTTCACAATGACCCTCATGCGAGGCATTCAGATGATAATGGACATGGTCACCTTGAAGGACAGATGAACTTCAATGCAGATTCTAGCCAACATAAAGGTATGCTCCATGTTACTAAAAAGTGTTTAACTATTGTGTATATTACGAAAGTTATATAAATCTTGTTATGTTGCTGTCTACACCAGTAGATTAAAATGAGCCTCATGTGTCAGATATTAAGATGATATTTGATTTATTTGCCTTGGGAGAAAAATCCCAGATTTATTTAAGAAGTTAATAATTTAAAATTAGTTCTAGATGGAAATGGTTCATAAATCATGTCATAGAGAAAGACATGAGCTGGAGGTAATTTTTCTTACAGTCAGTTTTATTATGACTTACAAAAGCTGTTTTGTTTAGTCCTGTTACTATAGAGAAAGGATGTGTGTATAGATCTGAATTTGCATTTTTATCAGTGATTAACCTAATTATTTTTCTTTTTGAGGGTCAAAGAAGTAACAACAGTAAGTGTGTGTACAGTGACTTCATCTTCTGGCTTGTGTCCCTGAGACCAGACTTCTTTCAGGGGCATCTGTGTGTTTCGGGAATATTGGTTTCTCTAAGCTCTGTCCTTCAGCTCTGTCTGTGTGATGCCACCAACTTTTGAAACTTTGATACCTGCTGTTTCCTTACTGAGGTTATCTTCAGCCCATTTCCAGACATTGAGAGAAGACATTTTTTAACACAATACCAACATCTCTGCAAATGGATTTATTTGGTAGAACAGGATACAAGTAGCTTAGAAATGATGAAAAATCTCCCTCTAGTTGAGAGTTGGTTCTTTTACCTTCTAGCTGAGTACTTACTCTTAAGTACAGCCCCATGTCTTCAGACAGTTAATTGGAGCCAAAATTATGAATTACTGAGAAGCTGTGCTGGACCTTACTGTATGCACATATATTCGAGAAATATTTGTTACCTTCATGGACCGAAAAATGTGGGTAATGCTAAAAATTACTCCCCCGTCTCAAAAATGTATACATTGAGCTCCATTTCCTCCCCACTCCCAGAATTACTTTTGTTTTCTCACCTTATCTAGCAACCGTTGGTGTAACCTAGGAACTGTGAAACTGGGGACATGCATTCCAGTTGAATTTTCATATGTATCACCATTCTCCAAGACCTCTTAAATCCAAATGTTCTCCCTAAGTCAGGCTTACAGCTGCCTGCACGGACCTCCATTTGATTAAATTTCCCCGTGCCTTTTCTTATCTTTTCTTTTAGTGAGCGCATACTGAAGATACATGCCCTACATCTTCTTTTCTAGTGCCATTTCATTTTTCCCTTCTGTGCTCTGCTCCAGTTCTTAGGCCACTACTCTCATTTAACAGTTCCCACATTTCCTTTTCCCTCAGCATACAGAATTCTTTAAACACTCATTGGTCAGGCTAGATGGAGAGATGGCCCAGTGATTAAGAGCACTAGCTGTTTTTCCAGAGGACCTGGGTTTGATTTCCAGCACCCACATCATGGTCTCTGATAGTTACCTCCAATTTAAGAGTGATTCAGTACCCTCTGGCCTCCATGGGCACTGCATGCTTATGGCATGGTTTACAGACATACAGGCAGGCAAAACTCCCATATACTTGAAATAAATGTCTTTAAAAATAACCCTATCACTGCATTTCTTTCTTTTTTAAAAATCCTTTTGTCACTGCGTTTCCTACTATGCAACAATTACTGATCTATCCCTGGCTGTCCTAGAACTCACTCTGTAGTCCAGGCTGGGCTTGAACTCGCAGAGATCCGCCTGCCTCCCCAGTGCTGGGATTAAAGGCATGTGTTACTACCACCTGGCTCAAAAAAAAGGACATGAAGTTGGGGGGAAGAACAAGAGTTGGGGTGAGGACCCTAGGGGGAGTTGGAAGGATACAGTGCTGGATAGCTATGACCAATACACATTATAGTAATATATATAATTTCAAAGAAAAAAACATGTTTTTAAAAAAAGCACTAGCCCAGATCTTCTAATTATGCCCTTCCTCTAAAGCAGTGCTGCTCACGTTGTGGGCCTGACAGCTTGAGAATGCTTTACATCCAGGTGAGGAGCTTTTGGAGCAGATGATGGGTCAGTTTCAGTTCCTAAGCTCACTACTGTGTGTGGCAGATGGTGGTATTCTGCTCTACATTCTGACATGAGTCTATTTCTTTGCAAACTTAGCTTACAGAAATTATCTAGATAATTTCAGTAATCCAACTTCTACCATTGCTCTGTTGGATTTCTAACTGTTGCAGTTGCATTTTGGAATGAGGTATATAGTATTGTGTCTGCAATCTCAACCCTGCATTAACTTCTATGCTTTGAACTGATCTTATAGAGAAAGTCTTCAAGAACACCTTAGGGTGTTCACGTAGAAATTCATAACAGTTGACTCGTAGGCTTCAAAAATAATAAACTGACTTTAGCAGCATAGTTTTTGTTTTGTTTCTTTTCTTTTTTATTTATCTGTCTTTTGGAAACTCATTTCCAGGGGTGTTCAGCTACTTTATTAGTATTGAATAGCAAGGAGAGGCTATGTGAGGTAGTGTTTGAGTATGAATTGCTGGGTGTGGGGTGGGACCTGCTACGCAGCTCACTTCTAAGTAACGAGCTTCCCAGATGACCTTGATACTTTGGTCAGTTCAAGTAGTAAGCATGTAGGAGCTAGTGACGCTTCAGAGATCTAGTGGATAAAATTGACAGAAAATTAGAATGTCAACTCATGTTAGGTTGTATGTTTCTCAAAGTCATTAATAACAGATGGGTAAATAGAGCCTTGGAAATTATTTATGAAAAAAAAAGTTTGCTGTGATTTGGATTTTACATCTGTGTAAAAGTAACTTTTTGAAATGTTTGTTTGATAGATGAGAACACGGACATTGCTGAGACCCTCTATCAGAAAGTTAAAATTCTTTGTTGGGTTATGACAAGCCCTCAAAATCTAGAGAAAAAGGCCAAACATGTCAAAGCTACATGGGCCCAGCGTTGTAATAAAGTATTATTTATGAGTTCAGAAGAAAATGAAGACTTTCCTACTGTGGGATTGAAAACCAAAGAAGGCAGAGAGCAGCTGTATTGGAAAACAATTAAAGCTTTTCAGTATGTGCATGACCATTATTTAGAAGACGCTGATTGGTTTATGAAAGCAGACGATGACACATATGTCATACTGGACAATCTGAGATGGCTTCTCTCAAAGTATAACCCTGAACAACCCATTTACTTTGGGAGAAGATTTAAGCCGTATGTGAAGCAAGGGTATATGAGTGGAGGAGCAGGATACGTCCTAAGCAAAGAGGCATTGAGAAGATTTGTTGATGCATTTAAAACAGAAAAATGTACACATAGTTCCTCCATCGAAGACTTAGCACTGGGAAGGTGCATGGAAATTATAAACGTGGAAGCTGGAGACTCCAGAGATACCACTGGGAAAGAAACCTTCCACCCATTTGTACCAGAACACCACTTAATCAAAGGTTATCTCCCAAAAACATTTTGGTACTGGAATTACAACTATTATCCTCCCATAGAGGTAAGTCCAGAAGTAGTTGTTGTTGTTGTTGTTGTTATTATTATTATTATTATTATTATTATTATTATTATTATAGAAATACTTGGGACTGACTTTTGTGTATCTGAAAATGAAAAAAGGGCTACTTAATATGTGTGTGTTTCATTAGGACCAATAACTAGAATCTTTTAAAATGTATATACTGACAGTATACCAAAGCAGATGAGAACAGAGGCTGCAGCCAGTCATTTTATAGGTATCTATTCATACCTCTGTATTCCAGCCACTAGCATATAGAAATCAATACCATCACTGGTACACAGTGATTTACCATCGTTGATATAGAAGTCAGTACAGTCAAGTCCCAATTGTCTTATGTTCTTTGTAAGGAGGTATAGAATAAATAGGCATACTTATAAAAGATGTCACTTTAGATAATGGCAGGTGCTTTAAAGAAGTGATTCTCAATCTATGGGTAATGACCCCTTTGGCAAACCTGTTTTCAAAAGCATTTAAATTATGATTCATAACTATAAAAATTACAGTTTTGAAGTAGCAACAAAAACAATTTTATTGTTGGGGTTCACCACAACATGAGATATTAGAGAGTCATGACATTAGGATGGTTGAGAACCACTGTTCTTAAAAAAAAAAGAGAGACAATGTGACTTGAAATGGGGTTGGCTACCATGTTTTGGGTGATTAAGAAAGTGACTTTGCAGAAAACTTTGGATAAGGTTAGAGAGCTATGTGAAGATCTAGACCATGAGCCTTATAGTTACCAAGAAAAAAAAAAAATAAGGTTCAGAAAGACTAAATTCAAATCCTATTCTTCCATTTCATAGTTGGATAATTAAGCCAAAATTTGGCTTATCTTTGAGCCTCAGTTTCTTCATTTGTAAAATAGGTGTGATGTATCTGTCATGTACTTGTAAGTACAGTGTAGTATAACCTAGGATGGTTGTTAATGACAAGCTTGGCTCTAGTTTGTATCTTAATTTACATGTCTCAGAATTGGACCTGGGTTACATTGTCTTTATGAACTATCTCAGATGTATATATTTAACTTTACCAAGTATAAATCTATTGCCACATTGTCAGTGTAGTAGACAGTTGAAGCCTGTGTGCCCTTCTAATCTGGTTCTTTTATCTGTTTCCCGTAAACTACACACTACCAGAAATTAAATGATATGCATTATCATTGCATATTTTATATTTTCCCTACATACTGGTAAGTGTATAAACGAATCAGCATTGTTTTGTAGATTTTAAAATCAAATTACACCGTATATATCTTAAACATTTTCATTGGGATTTAATCTCATTGTTATAACTCTGCTTCATTCATCTGAGTTCTACGTGATAATATATGAATATGCATCCAGGTACAGTGGCACACTCCTGTAATCCCAGCACTTGGGGAGGCAGAGGCAGGCGGATTGCTGGGAATTTGAGGCCAGCCTGGTCTACAAAGTGAGTCTAGGACAGCCAAGTTTACACAGAGTAACCCTGTCTTGAAAAACAAAACAAAAAATTAGTATATGAATATGCAATAATTAATTCATTTTGCTGCTGATAGGAGATTATTATAAGCACCATTACAGTGAGTTACTCAGTGAGACTAGGATTATAAAACCTAACTTTTCAGACTTTGTTATTGTTTAGTAATGCCTTTAGGCAAGTTACTAGTTCTTTATACTGCCTATTTATGGCCCTAACATACTAACAATACACTTCAGGGTGTCATTCCAAGCCAGTTCTTCCAAATGGTATAGAACATTTTCTGTCCAATATAAGAAGATTTGGTGGTTTTTCTTAAGTTCTGAACCCCTTCCCATATACAAATATATTCATATTCATCATTACAAATCATGTAATGGATATACCCAGATACATACGCTATTTTATAAAGAGTGACGGGTATTCTGTACATGCGCGACAGTAGCAAGAGGATGCAGTGCTCGTATCTTCTTTTTAAGAGTGCTTTACAAAAAGGGTAAGAACAAAGACTAGGGTCTTCTACTTGAATCATAGTGGCTTTTAAATGGATGGCAACATTTTGCCATCCTTATAAAATATATTCCAATAGGTTGACAATTCAGAAACAAAATGCAAGTATTGAAATTGCATAAATCTTCTAAAATTCCCCATTCTTTGTCAGAAGGTTCTAAAGCACCCAACATGCAAACAAAATTTTATTATTCATTTATCTTTCAGTATTTTTTCTCTTTGTGGTATGTTACTGTCTTCAAAACTTTCTAAATAGATGTTATTTAATAATCACCAGAAATACAGATTTTGGTCTCGTTTTGGAGTCTTTGGTTTAATTGTTTTGGTCTATATTCTTTTTTGTGAGACAATAGGCTGGCCTTGATCCCTCAACCATCCTTCAGTTTTTTGGTGCTGTGAATACAGGCTTGTGCCTGTCACACCTGGTTACAAAATTGTTTAGCTTAGCAAGTTAGGATGTAAGATAGTCAGGTTGATCTGAATTATGTTGTAATTCAGAAATGACAGAATCGAATTTACTCTCCATTTCAGATATTTTTTACACTAACTTTAGTCTGCCTAAAACAATGCATAGTTGAGATGGAGAGCTCCTGGTTTTTCCAAGTTGTTGTATCATTTCCTCGACTCTTTATAGTGTAATTCATTGTATACCATAGTGTCACCTAGAGGAAGGTGGTCTGGGATTTCAGTTCTGTGTAGTTTTTTCCTCTTTGGATTTGGTCCATATTGTTTTGAACCTTTTACTTTTAAAATGTTTTTAAGCCATTAAGGATGTATTGCTCTCCCTCTTTTTCTTTCTCAAGTGGCAACTGTTCTGTCTCTTTCTTTGTATATAACTCATTAGTTTAGTGAAAATGATTACTTTGCCCAAAAAGTTTTTTAGAGTCCTTGGTTAAATTTTATAGTTTCCCTCAGATCATTGTATATTATTGTTTGTTTTTTTGGGTTTATTTATTTTCTTTTGTGTGTCTAACTGTTTTGGCTGTGTGTATGACTGGTGCCCAAGAAGATCAGAAGACAGTGTTGGATCCCCAAGTTGAAGTTACAGGTGCTTGTGAACCACCCTGTATGTAGGTGCTTGGAGCTAAACCCTGAGTGTTCTGCAAGAGAAACAAGTGCTCTTATTGCTGAGCCAACTCTCTATCTGCAGACGGTCATATCTGAAATTCTCCCCTACATAGTTGGTGTATTTGCTGCTATCCTACTTGGGCTTTTTTAAAGTTAATCTTTTTACTTAACTGGTGTATGTGAAAATGTAGATAGTTTGTTTTCAGTGTTGCACCTAAGGCCTCACACATACTAGGCAGGTGCTCTACCACCCTGCTGTATTCCAGCCCTTTGAGAACTTTTAAAAGTAACTTTGAATCTGACTAGTACAGCAGTTAGATTTGTTTTTTTCTAATAATTACAGTTCTTTTCTAATGCTTAAGAAAAACATCTTAGCCATCCCCTAAAAAAAAAAATCAGACAAATAAAATAAAGCCTTATGATGTATAACAGCTTCTTCTTTAATTTGAAATCAAGAATGTTAAATGGTTAAGCACTAAAAAAAAAAAAAAAAAAAAAAAAAAGGTAAAAAAATACAGTTTTAGTTGAAAATACTTTGACAGTTCCAGGTTTGGTTTTAACTATGTGGGAACTGACAGAACTGTTGACTTCTTACACCGTCTGATAGTGAGACACCCCTGCCTTCCTCCTCAAGCTTTGACGCTTCCATGTTTTAAACTAGTGTGAATATGTGACAGCGTGCAATGCGCAGCTATTAACAGTGTCTGCTTCTGTTGTTTTTTAGGGTCCTGGTTGCTGTTCTGATATTGCAATTTCTTTTCACTATGTTGATTCTACAACTATGTATGAATTAGAATACCTCGTTTATCATCTTCGTCCATATGGTTATTTATATAGATATCAACCTGCCTTACGTGAGAATATACTAAAAGAAATTAGTCGAGCAAACAAAAATGAAGATACGAAAGTAAAATTAGGGAACCCTTGAAAGCAGAACATGAGAGAACTGAGGTTAAATGGTGTACATTGCACTGAAGAGCTCCTGCGTTCTGACAGAACCCTGAAATCCCAGTGAGGAACTCATCTGAAAGGAACATTCCATGTAGAAATCTTTCAAATGGATGACTATAAACTGAAGCATTTAAAGAGCTGTGAAGTCTGCAAAATGTTTTGATACAGTAATATATAAATATAAATAAATATATATAAAGAATTTGTGTTTTTAAAATGGTGACAGACAGAAGAGCTTAGAAAGATTCTGTCCCCTGTTGCTGACAGTGTGTATTATCACTAAAGCTGGAGTGGTTCAGTCCGTAACCAGCTACTGCACCCAGCCCGGACAGAACACATGCTGAATGGATCTGCCTTAAAACCAGAAGACTCTTGCTCAGTGGTGTTCCTCAGCTCACATGGATATGGTACAAACCAGCCTTCCGGTTCCCAAACGAGAAGTTTTCTGTAATTATATTATTTATAATTGGCAGTGTTTCCTCAAGAAGAAGCAGAGTAAGGATGGCACTTGCCCTGAAGTGCGCTAATAAACCACATTTTCTGATTATTATGGGCCTTGACTATATGAGTTAGTTCTACATATAAGCAGTCTTACACCAAGTCCCCATTGTCTCTTGAATATCATTTTCACTATTAATGCTTATTTACCCAATGCAGTGGCAGCATTCTATAAACCATGCATTTTAAAATATTTTGTTCCCAAATTCATTCTTTGTTAATTGTAGGTAACAAAGTTAATGCTGTTTGGACAAGCATTTTTAGTATTGGTACCACTCTCAGGAATTATTACTGACATTGTAAATTATTTAGAAGTCTTTCCAACTACATAATTATTGCTCCTTTTATTTTCATCCTGTGGAGATAAGACTTGTTTGTGCCTTTCATAACTTCTTTAAAGCACTTTTAAAATTAATTTTTATACCTGATATGTCTGGTAACACTGGCAAAATTGTTTGAATGCAGGTTTGGTCAGAATTAAAAACAATAGCAAGTAAAGGACTCTTAAACAAGCTAAAATGTCATATACTTTATAAACAACCGATTTCATGCTTCTTCTTTGTGGATAATTGTCTTTCCAGCAGTAATTCCAACACAGCAGAATCCCATTCAGACTGCCATCAAAAGAGGTCTGTGTATCACTCTAACTCCACAGTGTTGCTTAAAAACTTTAATTTTTTTTTTTTTTTTGTCATCAGCAATACTAAGTAGAGCAGAATATTTTACAGGTTTTCCATAATTTTTTTTAATTGTGAATGATTTACATTTTGTATCATGCTACTTTTGCATGATAATACATGTGGACTCGGTTGCTTGGCTAAATAATGAATATAAATAATTTATACTTATTGTGCCAAAACGATAGCCTCTGGATGGTATATTTGAAAGGATATTGGCTAGTTATGGATCACTGTCCACATGAAGAAAATATAAACCAACTTTAGAAATTAATTTGGTGTAGGTTCTCATCTACCTATAGCCTAGGCTTTCCAGACTGTTCTTTGAACAGCCCCTTACCATGGTTTGGATATCACTTTGTCTGTGTTCCATATACTAGCAGAGTAAACATCTTATCATAATGATCCAAAACGCTTAGCATTTGTTCATAGGAAATGAGTGCTGCAGTGAGTCCTGGCTGCAGAGTCAGGCAGCCTGGCTTTAAGTTCTTCCATCGCTGTTCATGGAGCCTGAACAATTACTTAATTTCTTTGTACCTCAATTTCCTCATCTATAAATTAGGGATAATGATACTACCTACCTCACAGGATTTTAATGAGGATTATATAAATGAATATACATAAGGTTATTAGAACTGTCTGGCTCAGATTGGGATATCACTTTTAAGTATGAGGTTTCATTGTGTTACCTTGGGAGTATAAATACTTTGATTTAGACAAATGCAATGGTCAAATCAGATCTGAAGGAAATATTTTGCACATTTCTTATAATATCTAGTATTCATCTAGTGCCTGCTGTATGCCAGATACTGTTCTTATTCTGTACATTTGTGTTAATCCTCATAAACTGGGTGTTATTTCCGTAATATAGATGAGGAAACAGGCTCAAAGAATTCAAGTGATATTTTCACTGTCACAAAGCTAGTAAGAAAGAAGGCTGGGATCTATAATCAAAACCTGTGTGATTTATATTACATCAGCCATATATATATATATATATATATATACACACACACAAACACATACATACACATATATATACATACATATCATACATATATATGTGTATATATTATACACACACATATATACACATATATATGTGTATAATATATATATACACACACACACACACACACACACACACACACACACACACACACACACATATATGGCTAACAGTTTGGTTTAAAGAAGCCCTGAAGGTTAACCTTACTAATCCTATGTTGAGAACCGTTGCCTGTTTACCTACACGATTTTGGTGCAAATAGTCTTTGGAACACACTCAGGATTTCCGCCCAGGAGAGAGACATTTTTCAAAGACTCTGAAACATGTTTTAAATCAGTGTAGTCCAGTATCATACTATATTTAAAGTAAAATGCTACAAAGTTTAAAGGGTCAGTGCATCATTGGTTTTGGCAAAATTCTGTACTTCTCTTTAGTGACTATTATCAGGACCCTCAAATTCTCCAAGTTTAGTCATTTCACACTGAGCAGAAAGGGTTCAGTACGTACTAGTATGTACATATGAATTCATTAAAACATATGTAAATGAATATCATGAAAATGTCTGCTAGTTGCTAAAATTTCCAATAGAAATAGAAAACTGCTACTTTATATATGCCAAGTATTTTCTGCTACTTTATACTGTCAGCTTGAGTTTTGTCACTTTCAAAAATCACTTGCCTATCTTAAGATCTAATGAAGCAAAAATTTCTCCCAAGTATTTGATAGAGCACATTAAACAGGATTTTGTGGTGATAATGATTCGCCATCTTTTAGATAAAGATCTCTGTCTTATGAAAAATTGATTGTAGTGTGGTTTCAATACATAAGACTTTTAATAAAGTCTTGTATTCTCTATTAATAATATACTTGTATTTTCTAGTGGGAAGTTTATTAGACAAAGCAGGTTTTTGTCCCAGAGTTTGACTGTTCGAACATGCCTAAATTTCAGAGATCAACTTGTTACTATAAAAGGACTAGATTATAAATCACTGGCCACTTCATAGTATGTTTTGAATATGGTAATTGGATTTGAGCATTAAGTTTGCTAGCTGGTTATTTTCATAGCTATTTCTTGAGTATTAATTTTTTTTACACTCTTAGCCTGTCAAACTGTATTGCCGGATTGAGGCCCTGTTATACTTGAAAGAAATTCTCACTTGGTTTGTCAAATCCTACCTACCTAGCTTTGTTCTTGCACTTTCAGTTCATGAGGTCATTCATTCTGTCTTTGATGGTTCCTTTATAAAAGCTTAACTCCCTTGATACTTGTAGTGCTGTCTCCTTGTGGTTCATTTGGGTGATCAGAATGTTTATCATTTGTGATGGTTTCCAATGAGACTCAGTCCAACAATATCTGCTGGGTCTCGGGCTACTTGCCCTAATTGAACTTGCACAACCTAAAACAAGTCTACATCTGTAATTAAGGAAGTAAAGTTGTTTACCCTCCTATTAAAAGCAAAAGGCAAACACATTAACCTCATCTCTCTTGTTTTGTATTAGGCCTGATAGAAACATCATGGGGACAAGCTGGATATGTTTTACACTAATGTAACCTTTGTTGATTAAAGATGACTTACAGTTCTATATCAAAGTTGTATTGAAATCTTAACACCAGTTGAAATGAGAACTTTGTACAGATTCTTTTAGAGAAAAGCATCATCAGAGTTGAATGTCCTTTGTTCCAGCTCCCTTTCCTCTCTTGAGTTTTCAGTAACATTAGTTAAGTTTGAGTAACTTTGCAGGGCGCTATAAACTAATGATCTACATGAAGTGTATTATTAGATGGAAACTAATCTTACTGCTAAGCAGTGTATTGTATTATACAGTGAATGTTTGTGTTTTGAAATTTAAAAATTATTTAAAGTAATAGTGTCAATGAAGGGTTTAAAAATGTCTGGTGACTTGCTTATTTTAAGTGATCACCATTAAGTAAGAAAATGTATTTTTAAACATTTTTTAAAGTGCCTTTTGAGAATTTTTAAATAATGGATTCAAACAACTGCATAAAATAAATTACCATGTTCAAAATTGCTTCATCTGTGTATTTTTAACTGCTGTAAGGGGATAGTTTGGGGGATTTTTTTTTTTCTGTTTGTATAAACTTTCTTAAATGTTCTAGAATATATGTATGTAAAGCAAAAAAGTATCCCTCATAGGACTTCAAGTAATGTACTTTTAAAATATCTACTCTCCAGCATGTGTTGTCACTTGAGTTTTTGGTCTTAGCCATTCTGATAGGTGTAAGGTGAAATCTCAGGGTTGTTTTGATTTGCATTTCCCTGATGACTAAGGATGCTGAGCATTTCTTTAAGTGTTTCTCTGCCATTCGATATTCCTCTATTGAGAATTCTCTGTTTAGCTCTATACCCCATGTTTTAATTGTATTACTTGGTTTGTTGGTGTTTAACTTAAGTTTTTTATATATTAGCCCTCTGTCAGATATAGGGTTGGCGAAGATCCTTTCCCAATCTGTAGACAGTCGTTTTGTTCTGATGACAGTGTCTTTTGCTTTACAGAAGCTTTTCAGTTTCATGAGGTCCCATTTATTGATTGTTGATCTTAGGGCCTGTGCTGTTGGTGTTACTGAGTCCTGAGGGCCCTGAAGAGAATGATACTCCAACCAAGGACCGTGCATGGAGAGAACCTTAAACCCCTGCTCAGATGTAGCCCGTAGGGTCAGTCTCCATGTGGGGTCCCTAGGAAGGAAAGCAGGGGCTTTCTCTGACAGGAACTCAGTGGCAGGCTCTCTGATCACCTCCCCCTGGAGGGTGCAGCCTTGCCAGGCCACAGAGGAAGACAATGCAGCCAGTTCTGATGAGACCTAATAGGCTAGGGTCAAATAACTAGAAGGGGAGGAGGACCTCCCCTATTGGTGGACTAAGGAAGGGGCATAGGGGGAAAGAGGGAGGGAGGGTGGGATTGGGAGGAGATGAGAGTGGGGGCCACAGCTGGTATACAAAGTGAATAAATTGTAATAAATGATAATAATAATAAAAATTAAAAAAAACCTACAAAAAGAATAACATAAATAAATAATATCTAGTCACTACAGTCCTAGAAAGTGGGGGAAAGGAGGAGGATAATGAGAAACAGCAAGAAAGAGAAAAAGATTGGTTTCCTGTTTGTTAGTTATCAATCTTTTCCATAAACTGAGTAATCTGTTTATTCAATAAGTAATTATGCCAAACATCAGCCAGAAATAGAGTCGCAAGCAGAACATACAAGCTCTCTGTTCTCTAGTTTGTCATTCTAAAGCCAGGAAATACGCCATTAGATGAGCAAACATGTAGCAGCAGGCCGTGCTATTAGGAAGACAAAGTCCAATAACAGCAGTTTTCTGAATGGTGCCTCAAAGAACTCTTGAGAAGGTAACTTTGACCTGAATGATGGACATTTTGTGAATTTCTGAAGTCATCTATGTCTGAAATTCTTTGTTCTTGGTATATAGAAACAGACTGCTATCTTAAGCATGCTTTCAGCACGTGTGAACTCACTGATTTGTGATGACAAGCTGGGATACCTGATATTTGTAGTCTTAATTCATCTGGAACTCAAGTCTGGTAATGTTACACTGGTCTGAGATATTTAGGATAAAAATCAAAATTGACGTAGTAGTATTCCTAGGCAAATTGATACAAATGTTCATAGGGCCCTTGAGTCTAACCAGGGTGACTCACTTAAATAATCTGCTCCCATCTGTTCATCATTAGCATACATACCAGTATATGTGTGGCAACTTTGGAAAGCTAAAGACACATGCCATGTCATACTGCTTTAACAGTTTGGTGACTTGGTTGTGTGATTTTAACTCAGATGCCAAAATATTTTCAATTAGTAAATTTGTAATGCTAAGCTTATCATTTTGAGTAAATACATTCAGATTTACTGTGTTAAAATTTTCAGGGTTAGTACCTCATAGTACTAGAAGGAATACAAAACTATTGAGTTTTATCTCCTTTCTAAAAGGAAGAGCCATATATACATAATTTAAAAATATATAACATATATATGCATACATAAATCACTATATTTTTTTAAGTCAGGCAGTATAGACTACTCAGGAGAAATTCTTTTAAGACCAAATGGACGTTTAACAACTGAAGCCCAGCAACTTTAACATTCTCTAGATATGTGCATGAGGAACATGGAAGTATGTTGCCAGCATTTTGATTTACTAGTTAGTGAAGTGTGTGTGTGTGTCAGTGTGTCCGTGCTTAGGACTTTGGTCTTAAACTGTGTTACATCATTTCTTTTGCCAAAAGAAACACAACTTATTTGTGCTAATGCCTCTTGTATTCTTTTACTGGTGGGTTTTGGGATTTTGTTTTGTTTGGTTGTTTGATTATATGTTTTTCTGCTTTTTTTCTCCCATGGCTAAAAATTTGTCTTTGTTTAACAACCAAACACATCTTACTTTGTATAAACAAAGTTTCTCCCACCCTTTTAAATAAAATCCGGCCCTTGATCTTTGTTGTGTGAGTTTTCCAATAATTCCTAGCTAAAGATTTATGGCACCTTGTCATTTATAAATGAAGTACCAGCAGTTTGAGCGAAATGGCCCAGTTTGGATTTTTGTAAGCTTTAACTTACTATCCTAGATGCACTTTACATTGCTTTTCCCCCTCTCCTTGTACTAACAGAGTCACAGTCTAGATTGAATTTCACCTTCCACTGATGTTGTCCTTATTACAATGTGGGGAGGTGGTGGCAAAGTCCAGAAGTAGGGGAGATCATGATTCAACATTATTTCATTTAGTTCCATACAAAATTGTCTTGGTTTTGTGCTGTTTAGTAATATGTGTGTATGAGACAGTATGGTGTCAGTTGCTTTTCTGTTGCTGTGACGAAACATGAAGTCAACACATAAATTATGTAATTTGACTTAAAGCTTTAGATGGTTAGACTCCATGATGCTGGAATAAAGGCATGGTGGCAGGAACAACTGCACCCTCATGTCTTAATCCAAAAGTAAGAGACTGAACACTGGGAATGGTAGATACATTTTCTGAAACCTCAAAGTCCACCTCCAGAATACATCTCTTCCAACAAAACAACACCACATCTCTCCCAAATAGCTCCACCAACTGGAGACAAGATAATGAAACATGAGCCAATGGGTGTTGTTCTTATTCAGACTACTACAGCCAGCTAGAGTCCATAAGTCCGTAATGGCAGAGCAAAAGCATGTTAATGAGAACAGCAGAAAACTCACATCTTCATCCACAACCTTGAAGCAGAAAGCTCTAGGAATCTTGAAGGAGTCTTGTGAAATCTTAGAACCCACCCTTAGTGACATGTCTTCCCCCAAGGAGGCCAAACCTTGAAGCAGAAAATTCTAGGAATCTTGCAAGAGTCTTTTGAAATCTTAGAATCCACCCTCAGTGACATGTCTCTGCCAAGGAGGCCATACCTTCCTAATCCTTCCCTAATGCTTCCATCATTTGGAGACCAAATAATCAAACATGAGCTATGGGGGCCATTCTTTTTCAAACCACAAGTATGTTTATGGTTATGTTAATTATTCTATTTCTCTTTAAAACATTAGGACTCTTGCCTTTTGTGCTGAATATAATCAGCTTTCTTGAGAGGTGAAAGTATGTGTTTAGAATAATTGGCCACAGAGATGACTTCAGGCTTATAAAGTAACTTAGAAACCTGCTTGCCCAATTGAATTTCTCTGCCCTTTGCCTTTTGATTTTTTTCAACCTCACCACCGATTCCCACTTCCACCCACACCCCTGTTATCTTCACATTGCCACCCACACCCCTGTTATCTTCACATTGCTAACAGTTCTTTTATAACTTGTTCCCATTTCTTACCAGCAGGTACGTTTTGAAAACTTGTTTTGGAATTATATCTTATTGCATAGTTAAAGGAAAAATAAGCAACTTGCCTATATGTCACTGACAGAATATGACTAAGAAAACATGCTAACATGATCTAGAGTTGTTTTTTTTTCCCCTACAAAAATGTTTCTAAAAGTTACCTAGTGAAAATATATATACTTAAATAATACTACCCAGTGAGATTAATTTTAAAATACAGTAGATACGTCCTCTGGCAAAACTGACACTTGAGATTTTGACGACTGTTTAAAGGGAGCTCTTAATAACATAATCAGACATGTTTTTCCACTTGTTTAAAACAATGAGGCTGAATAGTCTCTGCTTTGCTGGAGGTGAAGTTCACAGTGTAAAATAATGATTGCCATTCCTTGGCACTGCAAGCAGCCCTTGGCATCCAGAACTTCAAACACTGTTGAGAAGCAATTGTTTCCCAACTGAAGGGAAGCATAGCTAGTTCCTTCAGCTCAAGGGTGGGAAGGTAACAAGAAACCCAAGCTTGTCTCCTGGGTGCTGCAAAGAGGGCATTGCACCTGATTTAATGCCAGTGGGCCAAGGAATGTAGAAGTGAAGCTTTGGCAAGGGATATGTGAAATTCCTTGAAAGAAGCAAATTCAAACTCTAGTATTAGTCCTAATAAAGTCAGTGGTCTCGGGGAGCTATGTGCTGGTTTAATTGGCTCAAATACATTTCTTTTAATTAGCACACTTTTTTTTTTTTTTTTTTTTTTGAGATGCCTGGACCTCTAACATCATGGAGCAAGTTAGTTATGTTTAATCTTGAAGATTTGGGGAATTGGCAAATAATCACAAAAGGAGACTGTATTTCATAGAGTGAAACATCTCAGTATGAAGGACAAAAACATCTATGCGTTGTAATCCACCTCAGTTGGGAGACAAAACCTTTGCGGGCAGAAAAGGTTTTGGTCTTCAGTATTAAAATAATAAAACTCTTGAAAACTTTCATCGTATTCAATTTTTGCACTATAGATTGAACGTACATGCACATGACATATATGTATATATATATATATATATATATATATACATACATACATCTTTTATATTCACTTTGGAGCCTAGGCAGGGCTTGAATTTGTGCTCCTCCTTCCTCTGTCTCCCAAGTAGCTGGAAATACAAGCTTGTGGCACCAGGTCCAGCTCCATTATCTCCTCTTGAATCACAGTGT